GGATTTGAACCGCCAGCTCCGATGTATGTGGCTGGCGCCCTAGCTGCTGAACTATAGGCACCGAGCCAAAGAAAAGGTATTTTGTGAGAAAGATCCATAACAATCAAAATAAACTTGAGAGGGCAGTGCCTATGGTTCAGTGGGTATGGAGCTATCCCCATACACCAAGGGTGATGGGTTCAAACTTAGTGCCGGCCAGCTAAAACAACAGTGGCAAATGCAACAAAAAATAGCCAGGCGATGTGGTGGGTGCCTGTGGTCCCAGCTACTCGAGAGGCTGAGGCAAGAGAATTGCTTACGCCCAAGAGTTGGAGAGTGCTGTGAGCTGTGACACCACAGCACTCTACTGAGGGGGATAGAATAAGACTCTATCTCAATAAAAAAATTAAAAATAAACTTGAGAAAGAAAAACCTGGAGACCTCCCACTTTCTGATCTCAAATACCTTACAAAGCTACAGTAACCAAAACAGTATGATAGGGCATAAAGATGGACATAAGACCAATGAACAAAACAGAAAGCCCAGAAATAAACCCTGGCCTATATATATGATCAAATGATCTTGAACAAGAGTGACAAGGCTACACAATGGGGAAAGGTCATAGCTTCAATACAGAAGATTGGCTGTTCAAGTGCCACAGAATGAAGTTGGACTCTCAGCTTATACCATATACAAAAATTAACTCAAAATGGATTAAAGACTTAAACATAAGACCTGAAACTATGAAACTCCTAGAAGAAAACATATGGGGAAAGTCAATATTCATGACATTGGATATGGCACATTAAAAGTACAGGCAACAAAAGTCAAACTAGATGAATCAGACTATGTCAAACGTCAAGACTCTGTGCCACAAAACAAACAACAGAGTGAAAAGGCAACTTATGGAATGGGAGAAAATATCTGCAAACCATATATCTAATATGGGGTTAATATCCAGAATGAAGAATTCCTACAACTCAACAGAATAAATAACCTGATTAAAAAGTGGGCAAAGGACTTGAATAGACATTGCTCCAAAGATAATACAAATGGCCAACAAGTATATGGAAAGATGTTCAACATCACCAATCATCAGAGAAATGAAAATCAAACCACAGTGAAATACCACCTCACACCCATTAGGATGGCCACTATCAAAAAATAAGTAACAATTACTGGTGAGGATGTAGAGAAATTGAAACCCTTTTGTACTCTTGGTGTGGATAGAAAACGGTTCCTCAAAAAAAAGTTAAAAATTATCATGATT